GTGTGTGTGTGTGTGTGTGTGTGTGTGTGAGAGAGTGTGCTGGATGTGTGTGTACTGTATGTGTGTTTGTTCTTGAGATGTCTTAAGACACTTTGATAACGGGATATGTATGCATCACTATTATTTAGAAATATTATTTGATCGCCATTGCTGAAAGCGTTTAATGGAAACCAGCTAACATTTATCTCCATCACGTCGAAGTCCCGGAATTACCCAGATATTACAACCTGCTTACCGGCAGTTCCACATTCCCGCTGCCTCTGTCCTGCGATTTCAAAAGCTGACATCATCCGTGGCCACTCCTCCCTTCCCGTTGATACTTCGACCATTCAGCTACACAACCTGCAGTTAAAAGGGGATTGTGGAAACATTAGCGGAGCATTGCTGTAACAGCAGCCCCTCCAGGCAAGTTTTCTGAACACTGCTAAAGAGTGGCCTGACCAGTGCATGTAGTATGAACTATACATTATGTAACAGAAGATTGTACCTGTAGCACTCTTAAATGTGGACCACAAAAACTGGGTAAATATGTGTCCTATACCAAGTCTTGTCCAAATTGTTTTGCTGCGATTTGTCACAATTTAACACCCATATGTGAATTTTGGCTCATAAAGAGATGATTGTGATGCAAGCGCATGCACTCAGTCACACACACATTGATGCAGGGGGATTAAATCTTTAAAGAAAGTAGCCCTAGCTGTGAGGATAAGTAGGGCCAGTACGTGGGGACTAACAGCTGGGTGGATAGTGGCTTTTAATCCATCTGGATTTGCACATGATGGTGGAACAACAACAAATCAGTGCATGTATTTTACTTTATTTTATATATTTATTTATTTAATTTCCTTTGTGTCATACTGACAAATTTGTCACACCCCGGTGAGGGTTGTTTGTGTTGTTTGGTCACTTTCCTGTTTTATTTTGAAAGAATGACTCTCCTCTCGTTTCAGGTCACTTACCCTTCCTCCTGTGCCAGCCAGTCTGATTGTCTGCCCCACCCCGATTGTTTCTACCTGTTGCCCCTTAACTTGCGTTTAAATGGTCCTTGTCTCCCTTTGTCCTGTGCTCGTGTGTTTCGTCTTTGTGCGTGCACCCTGGCTTCACGCCACAGATCTGAACAGTTCTTGCCTTGTTTCCAGAGCCTTGCCGTTTTGAATTTTCAGTCGCTGATCCACAAATAAATATCATAAATCTTTTTACTTTGTGCCCTGCAACCGTCCGTGTCCTATGTCCAAGCCTGGTTCTGACAAAATTATTGAAAGAAATTTGTCTTGGGTGTGTATGTATTGGTGGTTGCGGTCAAAATTATTCAACTCCTCAATTGCATTTATTTGCTTTTTTTTTTTTAATGACCACATTGAAAAAATATTGAGAAATTTTATGTACTGTTTGTACACTTTGTACATGTATATTTATGTAACTTGAGCACCCTGACTTACGAGATTGTTTCTTCTAAATTTCCAAGGCACGTAGTTGCTTTTTGAATGAGTGGGAGTACGGCTGGGGCGGATGTTATTGATTGATTTTAAAATGCCAAACTGTTTTTAACTGTGAAGGACTTTGGGTTGTACATGTGTGATAAGATCCTGTACAAATAAAGTTGAGTTAAGAGTTTAGTTGTGTCACATGAGCAGAGTAGCGTCAATTCTCTGTGTCAAAGTGTCAGGGCTAATTACATGTATGGCATGTCAGTAAAACTGCAGGCTCGAGGCAGGTGGTAATGCATGACCAAGAAGCATGTGTGATGTCTTTGTTACTCATTAATCACTGAGTACATGTGTACCCAAACATTCACTGTCACAAAATAATAATCCATTTTAATAATGCTGGTATATATTGAAATGTTTGTGCGTGTTTAGGCGATAGGTGATGAGTGTTAAAGCAGGATTTCCCTTTTGTGGCATGAAGTCCTCCGTTGTATAATGAATGGGTTGCCTTTTTGAAGGCTGAATTTAATTGTGTTTCTGCTGTTTGGCTTGTGACACTTTTTGTAAACTTGTTTTTGCTTTCATAGAAATGTAGACCCATTTGCTCTGAAGTGACTCTTCAGGCGATGTTTTGCTAATATATTTTGAAATGTAATTTTACTGTACAGAAGGCCAGGTTTGATTCCGGCTCCAGCCTTCCTCTTTTGAGTTTGTATTTTCACCCCGTGCCTGCGTGGGTTTTCTCCGAGTACTGTACCAGTACTCCGGTTTCCTCCCACATTCCAAAAACATGCATGGCAAGTTAATGGAAGACTCTAACTCAGGGGTAGGAACTCCTGTTCTTCGAGAGCCACATCCTGCCTGTTTTAGATCTTTGTCTATTTCAACACAGCTGATTCAAATGATCAGTTCATCAGCAAGCTCTACAGAGGCCTGGAATGATCATGAACAATTGAATTTGGTGTGTTGGAGTAGGGACAGATCTAAAACAGGCAGGAGTTCCCTACCTCTGCTCTAAATTGTCACTAGGTGTGCCCCCCTGACAAAATTTTAATAAAACACCCTAGGTCTATGAAAATTTGATGGTATATGTAACATCCTAAGCCCTACACAAAATTCTGTCTGAGCTATATGCTAAACCAAACAGGAAGTCCACATTTTGAATTTATTTTAAAAATTGAGTGTGAATGGTTCTTTGTCTATGTGTGCTATGTGCACTAATGTTAAGACTAACTGACATTTATATTTTCCATTAACAAATAAATTTGCGAATTTATCTTGGAGTAATAGTCCAATGTTTATTTTCAGATACTTTTGATGGGCGTGACGTGACCCTTCTGGAGGTATGTGGAAGCTGGCCTGAGAGCTTTGGTGTGCCGCGGCACAATATCACATTCACAGATGCAAGCGAAGAAAGCCTCAGAGAGCGATTGGCAGATGCTATGTCTGAGTTTCCTTCTCGAGATGTCGAAGGGTCTGCTACAGGTCAGTACAGCACACACTGTATACACTTTTACAAACACAAACATACTAACGTAAATTAACAATTCCTTCAATGAGACTACAAAAATTGAAAATAATGCATCAAAAGAGAAAATCAAGCAAGGAAATTACAAAATAAATTCTATGGCCCCCCTACAGAATTTATTTTGTGATTTCCTCGCTTGATTTTCTGTTTTGATGCATTATTGTCAATTTTCAGTTTCATTGAAGGAATCGTTAATTTACGGTGGTCATGAACGGCTCTCGAGTCGAACGGAAGGAGCGTAGCTCTATCTAGTGGATGCATTGTAGATTGCGCCTTATAATCCAGTGCGTCCAATATATGAAAAAAAAATTAAATAACCCATTCATTGAAGGTGCGCCTCATAATCTAGTGCGCCTTTTTGTGCGGAAAATAGGGTAATCATATTCTGTCATGAATAGCACCAACAACTGATGACTAGTTTTTGACAAGTTTTTTTTAAATTTTAATGTACTGGACAGAGCCTGTTTAATGAATCCAACTGAAAATTTGTTCGAAAAGCCTCAAGACGTTGATCTAGCTCGATGTAGAATATTGTGACTTTTCAGCAAAAGGCGATCCATTACAGTGCTGCAAAGTCTAATGATTTACCGTGACAATAAACATTGCTGTAACTTTACCAAGATGATCCTATCTTCTTCAAATTGCACATATTTTATGAACGTCCAGCCCTGAATACACCCATGATTTTATTTTTTATTTTTTGTAGTGGTAGTGGCAACTTCTGGCTACATTAAATTAAATGTTTTATTCTTGTATGTTTTCTCCCAGCGGGTTATCCAGATCGACTTCATATTTGGTTTGAAGAGTGTTGAGGCCTTCATGATGTTAAAACATGAAGTTTATGAGTTTGCGTGAAATGCTATTTCGAGGGCTTAAACATGCACAAATACTTTGCACACACACACACACACACACACTAGGCCTGACAACATCAAGAATATTTTATTAGCTTATTGCGCAAACAAAAAATGTTCAGTAGCCCCCCAAAATTTTAATAAAAAAAAAAAACATAGGTCTATGAAAATTTGGTGGTATATGTAACAGCCTAAGCCCTACATAAAATTCTCTCTGACCTATATGCAAAACCAAACAGGAAGTCCACATTTCAAATTAATTTTAAAATTTGGCATCGCCTTGACTGCAAAAACTGCCGTAACTTGACCAACATGATAATATCTTTTAAAAATGTCATCCACTTGATGATAATCGTGGGCTAGAAATCTACAAACACATTTTTTTTGTCATAGCGGTAGAGCCACGTACTGGCTAAAGGAAACATGTTTTATTCTTTAATGTTTTCAGCCCAGTGAGTTAACCAGACTTACCTCATATTTACTTGGAAGAGTGTCGAGGCCTTCATGATGATAAAACATCATGTTTGGTAGATTTCGCAAAAAGTTGTTGTCATTTGTTGTTGTTTGTCAAGAAAACAACACTACTTTTGAGGTTCTAAACAGGCACAAAAACTCATGAAACCGGGCAGTATAATCGCAGGCCTGGCAATACGACCAATATTTTATGGGCTTCTTGCGCCATTTTTTAAAAATGAAGGCAAAGCTTTTTATTTTGTCCAATCCTGTTGTCATGGCAATGCACTGTTTGCTACAAAAAAAGGATATAGATTTTGATGGTCATATCATTCATGAAAACATATGACACTTGGCACATACGTTACACTTAGAAACATAATCACTATTTTATATGAGTTTATTGTGTGGTTTAAAAAATTGCTTTGTTGCGGACTCAAATACAGTCCTAGCTGACGGTTTCACCAAAATCAACCAAAATTTGGAAACATATATAACAGCCAAAGACCGACAAAAAGTCTCTGGAGCCCTACTCAAAACACAACAGGAAGTTCATTCATTCATTCATTTTCCGATTCGCTGATCCTACAACAGGAAGTTTTCCATTTTTATTTTCTTTCAAATTTTGCGTAATTTTCAGCCTTGGATTTAGCTTATATTTTGTCAAAGTATCTTTTAATCTGATGCATTTTCTGATAGACATTTTCAAAAATTTCCAATTACAATGTGCCCGTATCCCAATGTGACAATACTCCAATGTGGCCAGAAGTGTGAGGGTCCTTTTATAGCTGCTTACAGCTCCAGTTATTCTTGTTATGTTTTATTATTATTCGGGCCCGAACAGTGATTGCTGAGTCTTGATCTGACGACATCTACAAACATATTTTTGTTATTGTGGAAATGCCACATTCTGGCTGAAGGAAATATGTTTTAAAAGTTGATGTTTTTCTCCTGGTGCGTTAACCAGATTTGCTTCATATTTGCTCAGAAGAGTGTATAAATCTTCTTGATGTTGCAACAAGAAATTTGTGAATTTTTGTGAAAAGCTGCTGCTGCCATGGCAACGCACTGTTCGCCTAGACTTTTGAAGGTCTAAAAATGCATGAAAACTCATGAAAATTAGCAAATACATCAGGCCTTGCATCAGCATCAACATTTTGAAAAAATGGCTCAAAAAACGCCCCTTACAATTTTTTATCGAAGCAGCCCTGGTTGTACGTGTCACTCAAGATTGAAATTTACGTGGTATATGTAACAGCCCAACGCTTCCAAAAAAGTCTCCTGGAGCCATATGCTAAAGCTAACAGGAAGTCTACCATTTTGAATTTTCTTTCTCATTTGGACCAATTTTTGGCCTTTAATAGATGTTACATTTTTTTAAAAACGCCTCCTAGAGATTAAGCCCGATTGTCTTGAAACTGTTTAATCCAAAGATGTTCAAGACAACCAGGAAAAGCAAAGTGTTTAATTTTGCCGAAAATGATGCTGATTTTGATGGTCTTAACATTCGTGACAAAATAAGAAACATGCCACACACATCACACTAATCTGTGTTTTACTAATTACTGACTATTGTATTCAAAACAAAATGAATCAGTTGTGCTCCCTACAAATTTTGAATGAAACAGCTTTGTATCAACGTTTCACCAAGTTCTACCAAAAGTTGGAAACATATGTAACAGCCACAGACCTTTCACATTTTGCCTCATTTTAGGCCTTTTATAGAGCTAATATTGTATCAAACGGTTTTTAGTTGAATAAAACATTGAATAGCAAAACTGAGAATCAAACGCCAAGAGATACCAAAAGTGTTCACACACTGGCGCACACATGGTCGAGGGTGCAAGGTGGTTTCCAATTGCCCGTGGCAGTCCACTCAGTCATCTGCAAGGGGAGATCTTGCAGTTTACGAGTGTCAACGTACTTTGCGCACGGACCCCAGTGAGTCAATTTCTGCTTCCACAATGTGCACCTCCACCTGATTTTAATGGGAATGAGGAGAGCCGTCTTGATTGGCCAAGAGTCAGCTGCTTCCATCACAGCGCACAATGACGCAAATCCCCCATTCCACTCAATTCTCCCTCGTCAATGTCTACAAAAATCACAAAAGAAAGAAAAGTGCGGGAAATGCGCGGGAAGACTATGCTTTGCACTACACTTACGCTGGGCACGAAAATAGGGCCCTTATTTTCACTTACTGTCGCCGACTTTGCTGTCCCAGTTAGAAACATACACACACGTGCGCGCACACACACACACACACACACACACACACACACACACACACACACACACACACACACACACACACACACACGACAATCTCCAAACTATTAGTTCTTCATTTAATACCCAGAGGGCCATGTTGTCCCTTTGCTTTAACCAAAGAGAGTGAAGAAAGTGAGAGGGGGAGAAAATGAGTGCACTTAGTGAAAGCCTCGCAACACTGCCATGACAGACTGATAAAAGAAAAGAGAAGAAGACGAAGTAAATGAAGCCTGGGCCAGTATAAATGAACAGAAAAGGGTGCGCAAAGTCTATCAGAGATACAACGGTGTGAAAGCGGATTGTAGCCATAATATCTGTTCCTCAGCACAATCCTTCACCTTAATGACCCCACACCCCCACCCCACATTCTCCCTGCTCTTGTTTGGTCTCACTTTTAGTCCTTCTCTACAAAGCAAGAAGAGTTTGACTATAATGTGTGGCGACAGTGTGAGACAATGAATAACTCTTGTGTTCCGAGCCACGGCCATTTACCCCTCCTCCCCTTTATCATTTCAACTCTACAGACAAGTCAAGCCTGGATATCATTGTATCATTTATCCAAGACTCCATTCTGCCGCTCCGCATGTTTTGCCTTGAGGGAATTATGAAAAGTGTGTGTGTGTGTGTGCACGTGCATGAGTGAGAGAGAGAGAGAGAGAGAGACAGACAGACAGACAGACAGACAGACAGACAGTGTGTTGTCTAGATGCAGAATTTAGTTTGTTTCTATGTCTTCATGTTAGTATCACCACTTTGTGTGCTCTTTGTGTATATGTCTCCTGTGGACTAGGGGTATTGTGTTGTTGTTTTAGATCACTCTTCAGACTTCATTGGAGGAAGGCATACACACATACAGGGTACGTTCAGGTTCATGGAACAGTGAAGTGAGAAAGAGCTGAATGAGTCAATACAGTTACATGGTCAGAGTTATGGAAGGCCTTATTTGAACCCCGTATGTGTTGGGCCATTTGGCCAGTGTTTCCCAACCTTTACTGTGCCAAGGCGCATATTTTACATAGTAAAAATATCATGGAACACTACCAAAGAACGTCACAAGAAGTATATACCGCATACTCCACGAATGATGATGTTTGGTGATAATGGTGTTGGTGGAAGATCATTTAATTGTCCTGCTTGTCACGATTTGTCACCGGCATATATAGATAAACAAAGATGCATGATTGAGAGTACATACATTGCAATTTTCAAACCAATTCAGTGAAATACAGTAATTTCCCACCTGAAGGTCTTGTCTTGCGTGAGATATTGAACGTTACATCTACCTAGCGCAAGAACCCACAGTGATTGGCACTAACTGCATTAGGCAATGATATGACTACAGAGCCACACTTCAAATCAGGAATGGACTGTTTTTTTCATCATGTCAAATGTGAAGTTTTACATGATTTTATTATTGTCTTTATGTGTACATGGATTATTGGTCTCCTGCACAAATTGTACATGTACAGTGTGTCAGCCTTTGCTGACAAACAAGGGAGTGACATTCCCCTTGACCCTGTATCTTGAAGCAAGCTGACTTGGTTCAGTTGGTTGATAGACGAGAACGGGATGACGGACTTCAAAGGGCTGAAGGAGAGTATCTTGCTACTTGCTCTATAAACAATGTTGTGACTTGCCCAATATTCATTTTCCTTCAACTATTTTATTTTTTTTTTTTACAATGTTTTGATTCAGAATAGAGAGGGTAGTTTGCCCAATATAATGTCTGTATGGACATAAAAGATGGTAAAAATTTGGGTCTTTTTAAACATCCATCCATCCATTTTTTGAACCGCTTTATTCTCATAATAAAAAATCTCACACATACATTTTGGCAGAGTTTGCAGGACCTAAGGTCTGTGTGTGTCATCCACCCCCTACTCTCTGCCATTGTACCAATGGGGTAAGGCAACTTCAGCAAATTTACTTGCTGCTATGAAGCACATACCAGGTGTCTACCATTTTCAGTGAGTGGATAAACCTGAATTTATTGTTTTTTTAAATCGTTCACAGCAAAAAAAAAAAAAAAAAAGTGTTCATCTAAAATAATCAATATATCGTCCAGGCCTACTTCGTATCAAAAGCACTTGGGAGGATGGCAGTCTTGCAGTTAAACAAATATTCAAATTATCGTTCTGCAGAGAGAACCCAAATGAAGATTTTAAAAACATACCGAAAATGACAGAATCAGATGATGATAATGCTTTGGTTCTGAGCAGTACAGCCAAGGAAGCATACATTGATGCTATAGCTGATGTTGGATTCTATGTAGAATATTTTTAACAGTTAATTTTTATTTAACCAATTCTAGTAACTCAATACAGCTAACTTCACTCATGCAAGGCATCACACATACTTCTTTATTTATATAGCACTTTCACAACACCTGCAGCTGTAACAAAGCGCTTTCCAGAACATTTAACATAAAATAATAATAATACAACAGAACACCCAACATAAATCGTCAACAATAACACAATGGTAACAACTATTCCGACCTACGCCTTGCTTTAGAAATGGTTGTAGATAAAAGAGGAGTGAATCAAAGTCTCCTTTCACCAATGGATCAGACGTTATGGTTACAAAGTAAGTTTGAAAGTAAACAAGAAGCTCTAGTGTCCATTGACAAATATAGAGATTGGTTCAGTTCTCCCGTCACACCTCGATCTGCTTCTGTTTCAAGCTCCAACACTCCGTTCTAAATGCGCATCCGCTCTCTGCTCCGATGCTCCGCTCTCCTCATCCTCAGCTCCACCAGCGCACCAAAGCAGACTGTCTGTCAGCGCCTTGAAAAACGCTGCACATTACAGGCACAAAAAAAAAAAAAAATGCGACCCGCAGCTGTCAAGCGGAGATAGTCAAATAGCACCAACATTCCCCACTATCAAAATCAGTGCCAATACACAAAGGCTTCTGAGAAGGTGCAACCATCAAGCACAGATCCCTCTCCTCCTTCAATCCACCACGGGTCGACTCGAAGGACAACAAACACCAAATGACAAAACAAATGACAAAGGCAACACAAGATATGCTCACAAAATCATGTCTCCTTTTAAATTTTAAAAAGACTGACAGCGTGATCTTTTCCAAACAAAACAATAAAATTGCAAATTCCAATGTAGTTCGCTGTGGCAAGGAACTCAAACTGGTCCAAGACTTCAAGTAACTTTGAGGTGGTCCAGGATTCCGCTCTCACTTTCAAATGTCATGTCAAGAAAATTTCTAGAACAATCAAATTCAGTCTTCACAATTTTTTTCATGATATTTTTGCACATCTATGACACTTAAGGCATCTGGGATGTTTTTGCCTGGAAATTGGCACATCAGATAAGTCACGGTAGACTCTTAGCATTGATTCACCGCTGCCTTTCACATTTTCAGGAGTGTCCTTCACAGGGAACCCAACAAAGCATTTCTGTGCCTATCAAACTGAACTGCGACATCGGAAAGAGTTGTGAAAAAGCAGGCTGTTTGGCTGTGTGAAAGAGACAGGTCTATCAAGTAATGAATCAATCTTTCATCTTCTACAGAACTGCAGAGAGAGGGCAGCATCGAGACACTCAGCAACAGCTCAGGCTCAACCAGTGGCAGCATCCCGCGAAACTTTGAAGGTTATCGTTCCACTCTGCCCACCAATGAGAACCAGCCACTGAGCCTCTTCTCCAGCAACTTCCCTTAGAGTCTTACCTCATCTTCATTGGCTTTCATTTTCACTGCCGAACACGCAATTTCACATAACCAATAGGCAACTAAGTGGTAAGAATAAATATCACCATGAGCAATATTGTGTAGCCTTCTGTGAAAGAAGTCAAGTCAAATATTTCTTCAAATACTGTTTTGTGCACCCCCACGACTCAAAACACGGCATGTATATATCTTCATCCATCCATCAGAAGGGGGGCGGGGGGTGCTGGAGACCATCCCAGCTGTTTTCGGGCAGTAGGCAGAGTACACCCTGAACTGGTTGCTAGCCAATCACAGGGCACACATAGACGAACAGCCATCCACGCTCACACTCACACCGAGGGACAAGTTAGAGTGTTCCATTAACCTGCCATGCATGTTTTTGGAATGTGGGAGGAAACCAGAGTACCCGGAGAAAACCCACACAGGCACGGGGAGAACATTCAATCTCCACACAGGAAGGCTTCGAGCTTCCTGTGTGGATTTTGCATGTTCTCCTCCCTCCTGTCTGGGTTTTCTCCGGGTAGTCCAGTTTCCTCCCACATTCCAAAAACATGCATGGTGGGTTGATTGAGCACAATTGTCCCTTGGTATAACCGGGATTGTGAATGATTGTTTTTCTATGTGTGCCCTGCAATTGGTTGGCAACTACTTCAGGGTGTACTCCGCCTATTGCTGCTCGAAGACAACTGGAATAGGTTCCAGCAGCCCCACAACCCTCAAGAGGATAAGCGGTTCGGATAATTGGATGTGTGTAATTCTGAGTCCGTGTGTGTGTGTGTTTGTGTGTGTGTATATATATATATATATATAGAGAGAGAGAGAGAGAGAGAGAGAGAGAGAGAGAGAGAGAGAGAGATCTAGCTCTCTCTCTCTCTTTATGTGTGTGT